TTAATGAATCACTATTGCGTTCTTCGCTGCTCTTATCAACTTCCCTTTTTTTCCACTCAAAGCACTATATAGAAGAAAAAAACGTAATTGAATATTCTATTTCATCAGGTAATAGAGATAGAGAAATATGAATACTTGTAGTTTTACATACATTACTCTTCGCACAAATTTGCCATGTCGTGTAATGGGCGTCGAAAGAACATGGGACTATTTGAAAAATGAATTTGATCGAGAAGGTGATGGCTTATCTGATTCTACAGCACGATATTTCGAAACAATAGGACCTGGACCTCAGTTATTTGGTGTTGTTACTCCTTCGGTATACTATCATGATCAACAACGATGGTTTAAATATAAAAGTTCATATGATGTTGTTTTTGACATAATGGAAATTCCAGACTGAAATATTAGCACTGGGTTTTTTTTTTGTTATATTTTTTTTTTGTAAATATCGCCTTAATGTCAATAATTAGACAAGACATATACGATGGCACAGTTTCGGTGGTTTTTTTCTCTTATCTAACACACAATACTTAAATTTTCTAGATTTCTTCATGCCTATGTTAATATAATAGTAAATGAGACGATTAATTGTTGTTGTCGGAGCCGATGGTCGACAAGGTAGCAGTGTGATCGAAGCACTACTTGAATATCCAGACAATTGGCACATTCGAGGAATCACTGGAGATTTAACATCAACGCATAGTCAGGTAGTCTCTTTCAAAAGAACTCTATCTAAAATATCATATCCAAGAAATTTGGCATTTTACAGTTTTATATCAATTACCTGAACTGATTTTGTCCGTTTAACTCTTTTCATATAAGCTGAACATACTAAGCACCTTATCTTATTCCGTCGATTGAGATCCATGAAAATATCTTTCAGGTCAACTAAGCTATCATAGAAGGTGTGGGTGTAGGCGTATAGTAAAAGAAGACCCACATCCACACCCAAAAAACTTATCACATGAACAAATCGTTGCTAACATAATGTTGCAATATTTTATGGTACAATATTTATGCGCATGTCCAATTAATTTTGTAGAAAGTAATGATGAAAAGGGAAGAAAAATAATCAGGAAATACTATAGTCTGTAAAAAAGTTAAATTCTAAAAACGAAAAAGGATCTATCCGTTAACATACTTTCCATTATTTCTTTCGACAAAATTAATTGATGACGGACAAATATATTGTACTATAAAGTTTTGCAACATTTTGTTTGCGACGAAAATTCCAGCCACTGTTTTCATGAAGACCATGGTAGACTCTAACCACCACATTGATAGAAATTAATACAAATTAAATTATTTTAAGTAATTTAAAAATGACTTTACAATCCATTTGCATCATCTATTGTATCTGATACCATTCTTCTTTGATAGGAACTGATTGGACGTGGTGTGCATATGGTTAAATGTAACCTTAATAATCGAGAAGAATGCCTTCTGGCATTTGCTGGTGCATATGGAGTGTTTGCAATAACAAACTATTGGGATGCAACAGATGGAGGTGAATATGAGCAAGCTCTTAACTTAATCGAAGCAGCAAGAGCAGCGAATATCGAACATTTTATTACGAGTTTTATACCAGATGCGACAGTCTTCGAGAAAAATCAATTCGATTTACCTCTGCATTCTGTGTGAGTTCTATATCCAATATAATGAGAAGCAAAGTTTTCTCAAAACGGGTATGACGGAGCCATCTAAACTATTGAGAATATCTCTTCAAACGAACCATCTAAACAGATAGTTTTTTTTTTCTTTAGTTTTATATTAATATTTTCTGTTATTGTGTAGAAGCAAAACTGAAATGGAAAATTACATTCGGCAATTACTACCGGACTCTACTTTTGTTCATGTAACTTTTATTCACGTTGGTTTCTATTATCAGAATTTTATTACATTCTTTGTATCCTACACGGAAAATCTTGAATTTCGCTATCCAGTTCTTTCGCATGCCCGTATTCCTTTTTATGATATACATGATACGGGTAAGGTCGTATGCGAATGTTTTCAGCATCCTGATCGCTGGGGTCATAGACAAACAGTACCAATTGTGGCAGAACAATTAACTATGGAAGAAATTTGTGCGACAATTCGAGAAGTATCTGGTAAAGATATACATTTTGTCCCTTTATCATACGATGAAGCTCTTCTTAAACTTCATCGAGAAACTGTAAACAATTTGAGATGGTATAATGATTTTGGCAGTATCGATGAACGACAGGCAGAAAAAACCAAAGAAATTTATCCAAAAATGAAAACATTCGCTGAATGGGTACGAGAGACTCAATGGTTGATGGAATAATAGATTATGTTTCTTTTTATTAAGTGTTGTATGATATCCATTTTAATCAATAAATGAAATAAAGTCAATGTCTCCTGAATAATTACAAAATGTTCAAATGATCAGCTGAGATTCAACTGTCTTGTTTTCAGATGAAATGATGAAATAATCAAATAAAAAACTGGAGATTGTTGAAACGGGTATTGATTGATTCATAAGATCTCAATAGTAGTTTTGATTAACCGTAGAAAGATCGAAAATGCCTTAAAAAAGTTCAAATGTCTAGATACATTCTTTATTGTATGAAATAATACTAGCATTCTAACAGCGATTATATGCAAGTCAAAAGAAAGAGAAAGACGATATCTTTGCCATGAAATTCCTATTCTTGTATTATTTCTCTATCAGCAAGGTGACTGTGATCATCAAGCTTTTTTTTAAATTTATCATTTAAATTTGTATGGACTTTTGCTGAATATTCATTAAGTGTTATACATTTCTAATATTTCATAGTTGTTGTTTCTTTATTCAATTTAAAACTATAATCATGTGATAGGAGCAAAGATCTTCCTTTTTGTGAACATCAGTTTTCTGTTATGCATCATTCTATTGATAATCATTTTTGTTTTTCTATCTGACATATGTATTTCTTCTTCGTCAGCTAACCATTAAGTAATGGAATATATTGACGGCTACAAAACAAAATAAATCTTGACTTTCATACTTTCATTAAAAAAGTGTCCACATCATCAGTACGAAAACATTTCTACCGATATGTTTTATTCATTTAATTGTACAAAGAGCAACATTAACCTGTTGAACATATTTTTATTGAATGCTATTGGGATCAATAATCCCAATTATACAATACCAACCCTGTCAGAACAGACAACAGGTGTAGTATTAGGTGTTCGAGCCACTGGCGAACTACACGAGAGTATCCATTATACAAGAAATTTAGTTTTACCAAGTTTGACCGTTACTGATTGGATTTATTCTACAGTAATGTCTAATAATAAGACATCAATATTTGCTAATTCTTATTGCCATACTCTATCTGTCAAAATAAGATCTAATCTAAAACTAAAATTTATATTTAGTAGAAAAGCTACACATTCGAAATTTTGATTATTCTTTCTTAAGTGCAATATGTTTTACTTGTTCTCTACAATGTCTCATAGGCATTGCCCATATATTTAGGTGTGTCTTTGACAGATGAAACCAAAGCAAGATTAATTGTTATAACTGAAAGTGTGCATTCTTCATTAAGTATCGGTTCTAATCTATAGGTTCTATCAAACATGCTTGTCTTTACGTATCATTAACATTATTCAGATGAATAATTTTTTTCAATTCTAGCAACAGTAAAAAGATATATTATATAGACTCTATAAATCAAGTTTTTCTTTTCAAACTTCGATTTAAGACTAATAATAGATTTACTCTAATAACTACGTATGAATTTATAAACTAAGATGAAATTTTTAGTGATTAAGGTTCGAATCCATCATATGCTAATGGCCAAAATGTATTTTCTGTTGGTTCAAACGCGGTCTCTTTTTTAATAGTGTAATATCCTATTTTCAATTGACTAAATATACTATGCTATTCTCACAGAATGGTTCATACTTCATTGTCTGTTGAATGAAAACACCTGTCAATTATACTAAAACTATTGATGATGATAACGCTTATATTGCTCTTGTAACTTGTCTGTTCTCTACAATAAGTTTATCCCATAATGTTGAAGATGCATGCATAACCAGTATTGGAAAAAGAAAGAATTGATCATGACAGCTGATTTTTCGTCATTCTCACTCAAGTTTCTTAGTTATAATTGAATTTAATAAAAAATAAATAAATATTATCATTTTCTTTATAAATATTTAGTATCAGAGAAAATACTTTCGCTCTATCTTAATGGTCAGTTGATCAATCTTTAGTACGATTTGCAATACGATAGTCCAATAACATACATGAATATTTATATATCATGATTGACATTGAAATTTTTGTAAGTCAAACACAACAAAAAGATACTTGAAAAAGAATATCGATGTTTTTCAGCAATGTATTATTTGGAAAATGGAATTTCTCTAAAAAATGGATTATATTACATTAAATTTAATTAATGGTATGATCAATAGTCTATGAATGTATCCACGAATACTCATATAAAACGAGATTAATATATTTCCATCAAATTACAAATGATTTTACTAATATATGTCTCTGTCATTCTTGTATATAAAAATAAAGCTATAATTATGAGAAGAGACTAAGATAATTTTCAAATTAAATCTATAAGTAGATATCCATGCTTGATATGAGACTGTAGTTGTTATTCTTCTACAATTAATAAAAAATATTCAAAGAAAAAAAGAAAACAAGTGATGATGTTTGTGTATCTTGTAAACATAGATTACTTATCTTTTCATTTTCATCAAGTCTCATTTGATTGACAAGTAACATTATTTTTGATGAAAAATATATGTTGATGTGATGAATAACCTTTTCTATTCATGTTACACGTCAGCTCCTATGCAATGATTAATCATGAATCATAGATTTGTTACTTTTTCTGCTTGACTCTCTCATTATTATAATTTGTTACGTTTTCGTTTTTTCGTTTTGTCAACGAATCAGTAGAAAGTTAACATTTGTCATTAACAACAAATAAAACAAGTATATTTCATAATAAATCCTAACAACAATGAGTCATGTATCAGAACTTTTGAGATCATCTTTGATATTTGGTTCTATATTTACTGTTCTCTTTGGTATATCAATCAGTTCTTTATTTTTGGGTTTTACAAAATATGACGAATGTCCATTTCAACCGCTTCTTCCTCAAGGTCTTCTTGGTTTTGGATTCATAGGCTCAATATGTAGCATTATTGCTCTTATTCTCGTAAGTTTTTTTTTGTTTTATCAACCTATAAAAAGTAAACGGATCGATAGGAAATTTAACAAAAAGAAAAATCTTTTTTACAATTTTGACTTTTGAATTTCGTTTCATAGATGAAGATATTTTTGAGTAAAATGAACTTATATTCTAGAACCATATTGTGAATATATAAATTCAGTTGATAAAAGAATCCTTAAAACATAGGAATCATTTAGGTAGTGCTGTCATTCGTTAAAGTGGATGACTCAGGTACTCACTTATTGTATCTACTTGGTGCGATTATACTTGTGATGATATACGGTATTAGCGCATTTATTTTGACATCTATGGTTAGTATATATAAAACGAATTCGTTTTTGAATTTTATATGAATAACAATTTAGATTGTCTTCTTGTTTCGCACAGACTACTCTCATTGTCAATTAGAAAATCCAACAGATCTTAAGTCATTCTGCCACGCATGGATTTATAATTTCTGTCACGTTTTTGCAACAACGGTTGCTGCGTTAGCTTTGACGTTTTTTATTTGGTTAGTCCGATTCTTCGGTCATAAATTTTTCAAATATCTTGGAAAAAACTAATCGATAAAAAAAAGACAATGAAAGACGAACTTTTGTTACTGTTATTTTATTTATTTTTATTCGAATAAAATTTAAATCATTAATCTCGAACACAATGAAAAGTTGGCATCAATTATATTGGTCTTTCAATTTGATTGCACAGATAGTAGTCGTCTTCAGTTGAGAACATCATAATCTTTATGGAACAAAACATAGTTTAGTTAATACACAATTTTTCATCATTAAATATTAGTTTTTTTATATCACTGAGCTGGTTCTTAGAAATTAATTTTTTTTACTATAAATGCAAAACTCTTTTGTTAGAATGATGTGTGTTTTTAACTTTTTGAACCTATATCATGCTTGACATCGTCCAATTGAAACTAAATCCGAAAATTGTATTCGTTTATTTATGTTAGATTGGCTATTTTCTTTGAATATGTCTATTCGATGAAAATTAGAAATTTTGATTAACATACAGAATACAAATCGAAAGGTTAGATCAAAAGAATCTCATTAGTTGTAAAACGATTTCAGAATTTATTGTTCTTGCATAAAGAATCAGAAAATCTCGTTTAGAAACTTAACGAGATTATTGAATCAACATAATACTATACAATTGTAACATATCAGGTGTTATAACTTCAACTTATTGTTGCGCCATTTTTCTTTTTTATAAACTCTTCAAAAATATAAACCACCAAAACATGATTTAAAAATGATACTATGAAAGTTAATCTCAGTATTTTGTTGATAGATATGCTCGCAAACGAAAATAAAAAATAAAAAAAAAATTGTCAATATCTATTGTTTTATTTTAACCGAGAGTGTTTGAATCAAAGCCATTTTCTACGTTTGTTACAGAGTATGTCTATTAGAAAAGGAAAATAATCAGCATTTATTCCATGTTACTGTTACAATGAATGCTATTGATTGATATCTATGACATCCAATGAACATGATATTGAATTCTAAAGTATCTAATCTTAATCTCGAATGATGGAAAGAATGAATTAGTTATATGTAAATTGTTCAACAACTTGTACTTTTATTGAAATAATTGAATAGTAAAATGATTCACTTAATTTCTGCTTGAATTCATGAATACTTAGCGAATTACCTTTATCTATCAAAATCATTATACTTTATAATTATTAAATAATCTCTATAATTTCACAATGATTAGTTTTTATTAATATTGAATTCGCTCAAGATAAAGCTGCAATCTTCAAACTATATTTATATATCCGACCGATAAATAGATGGAGATAATGATTGAAACTTTTGTTTTTGTCAAAGAATAAACATGTAGTGTAGGAGTTTGCCAATTGAAAGTAAAATCAAAAACTTTTTGCTTTGCAAAAAAAGTAACGACTATACAATCATAGTGTGCATTAAAAAACAGTTTTAGAAAGAAGTTATAATGCCTTTTATGTCTAAAGAGCTTCTTTATTGAACAGTAATCACAAGAATGGAAGCCTTCGATAGCAAAAAGTATATAAGAAATATCACTTGTATTCAATGACGCTTTGGTTTTTGGAAAGTAACAACATATGACAATAGAATGTTAGATCAACTAGCAAAAAATTTCATCATTTTGTTTTTTGAAAACCATAGCTTTGATCAATAGTTGCTAACGAGAACGTCTTTGGTGATAGAAGTATCAACAAACTTCTTTGAATCTGATATAAAATCAAATTTCTTTCTCAAAAGATTCGAAGATAGAAACAATTTTCTTTTTCTCATTCTATGAAGTGTTCTCAAGCCGAAAAAATTGATTGTACTATTAATAGCAAAAAAAAAAAGTAACGTTAATTTCCTTAAGAAAAAAATTTGATCCTGTCTTCTAAACCTGATTATCTCGGAGCATGGTTATGTATCCGTTTTCTCCTTGTGTACGTTTATCATCGTCACATTTGTGCGTGTCTCGTTCTTCCGTTTTAATATGTACTTCCGTCATGCGATAATATTAATTGAACAGTAAACAAACATTTTTTGTACAGTCTTGTCCTACAACTTTGAACGATTGAGCCAGTCCTGCTATCCGCTAAAGTTTTAATTTATAACGAAAACGCCAAAATTGACGAATCAGTTCCAGCAATATGTGAAAATTTGAAAAACTTAATCTTACTATAAGTACAATGAGTGAATTAACTTAAATTTTTGAAAGCAAATCTGTAAAAATCGAAAATTTTTATCGCATAAGTATTTTCACTTTTTTAAAATTATAGTTAAAATTTTGTTTAAAAGAAATCAATTATTCAATGAACTATCAATACTTGAACTTTCAATAATATATACAAACCGCACTATTTTCATGTATAAAATTTTTTTTTTCTATAAATCGATTGACCGTACATTAGCGATATCTATACTCAATCGATCAGATGACTATTTGGTAGGAAGTTGCTGAGTCACCTGTTTCTTACGTGGTGACATATATTTGTCATAAGTATGGTACACTCCTCAATGACGAAATTTGGATTTTTTTTTAAAATTATTATTCATCATCAATGATTATACATTTATATTCTTAACATGCAGTTTCGTGCCATTCAATATTCTGATTTTGTACATGATGCAAAAATGATTCATTCTACACCTTATTTGTAATCACTCAACTATGAAAAAATAACTGTGTATATATATATGAAGACTCAGAGACAAAAAAAAATGATTGATCATTTTTCGAAATAAAGACGAAAAACTTTTTTTTTTATTTTTCAGATTGCCATGTCTAGTTGAACAATCTTCAATTTGTTTATAACCCAGTGATTAATTATATATATATATATATACATATATTTGTTTATTTATCCTAACCAACAGGTAAGTTATATTTATGATGCATTAATGGGAAAAAAACCGTATACTTATTTTTGTTTGAATGAAAAAAACATAGTTTCCTTTATTCAATAAATATTTGTTACTCTAGTCAAATTTCTTTCCTCATACGCCCGAATTTCTCAAACAAAAAGGTCATATGATATAGATACATTGCAAGGTCTGCGTACGTCAAGCACATGAAAAAAAGAAAAACTTTGACTCAGGTACAAATTTCGTATGTGAGTTCTATTATACAATACATCTTTGTCTACGTCTCTCACATTCTTTCTCTTCGTTTTTCTTCCTTATACTCCTACCTACTCAATTGGTATTCATATTTTTCTTTTTCACCTTGATCGAAAAGAAGAAAAACGAAAAAAACATTCGAACAAAACATATTCTTCTTCTTCATTTTTTTGTCAACGTCGCTAGCAGACAGCTGGAGGTCAGTGATCTTTAACTTGAAAAAGATTACTATTTGATTTTCTACATCTCGTATCCAACATATTATAAATACACGATTGTAAAACAACTAAATTCGAGTTTTACCTATTGTTGATATACATACATTGATATAGAGTAGGAAAGAAAACTAAGTCTTCTCAAACCGTAAAAGTGTCGAATAAATTTTAATACAAATCATTTTGATCCTTTTAGTCCATTAGAATAAAAAAAAACAATGTCAAAATCTCCAACAACAACAACAACAACAACAAATTTAACTCCCTCAATTCTTTATGTTCCTGATCAAGCTTCATCATTAATTTTATCTAATCAAAAGGATATTATTAATATGGAAAAAAATTCAAATTCTTCTGAACAAAAATTACGTGAACGTCATCCAAGTTCATCAAGCGTTATATCAAGTTCATCTTCAACCGATTCCTTAACATCGTTTACAGCTAATCAAGAAAAAGTTGATGAAGATGCAAGTAGCAATGATGATACAAATGTTGATTGGGCACATTTTCAAGAACGTCTTCATACAGTAAGACTATTAAGTAAGTTAATATTAAAAAAAATTTCTTTATGAAAACATCAACTGATCTTTTATGAGAATAAATCTTAAAGTATCATGTACTATTCTGAATTTAATATATAATAATATATAGAGTTCTATGTGAAACTACGTACGAAGGAATATCTCAAAGTGATAAATCGCTTTAGACATGAGTCTTATTTCTTTTGATGAGACTCGATTACGAATATAGAAAGCCTAAAAAGACCTGTATTCATGAGCTTTTCTTTTTGAGTAATGATCATTTCAGTGGGTTCCTCTCCGCAAATAATATTCAAAATCGACTTTAAAGTTCAAAATTTACATAAATGAAGTTTCTAATGGGACTAGATTTTTTTTTAGAAATGTCAGACTTTCTAAAATGTCCTATTTTCGGATACAAATATTGAACATTTTGTTAAGGAGTCCCATTCAGAAAACCCAATTTTTCGAAAAAGTATTGAAGTTGAATTTTTATCATAGGAAGATGAATTGAAACTTCCTCTTTCAGAATATATATGCCTTTTTGTAAAATGATCAGAGTTTCACAGACTTATTACAGGAAACTTTAACTCTACTATTATGTTTTCGGAGAAATTTTAGTGCTTTCTTTTTTGAAAGTTTCTCTGTTTTGGAAAAACTGCATTGTCACTTGCATTAGCATCGAATAGAACATTTTTATATTAATCTGCATGACAGATGGCGTTAGCTATCTTTCATATGTTATGTACTTTAAAACAATCCACTGAAGTGTACTAAAAATATGCAATTCTAATATGATTTTGTCTGGATTTGAATAAAAACATCCATTTCTAAAATTTCTTTAGCATTTTCGTCAAACCATAGTTTCCAGGCAGGGAACTTGAATTAATTCCCACCCGATTAAGGGCATAATCGATGTTCTTTTTTTTTTGTTTTAAAGGTCTGAATGAGAACTAACTTTTGATCAGACGAATTTTTGATAGTTGATTCTTGGACTGAGAAAAGTGAGACTTACTGGTGGAGAGAGTTACCTTTTTTATACTTATTTTGAACTGCATCTCCATTAAAATGCTCATAAAAAATAAATGGAAAGAAGTTTCAAAATTCTATTTGAAAAAACAGTTGCGCACAGAGGCTAGATTTAATTTGAAACCAGTCCTAACTCTGTACCTTTTATAACGATGAAGTTATTTCGATTCTTCTGGAAGCTATAAAAACAAGCTAGAAGTTCGATCTAATAGGGTATATCAGGCTGAAATTTTTATCACAAGCGTTTCTCACTAGGACCATTCATTCCTGAAAATTTCAACCTAAATGATCCGTTCTAAGTATTAAATTAATTCTGAGAAGAGACCTTAATTAAAACAGCAACCTTCGTTTTTACATATATATATATATCATAATAAGAAATATTAGAAAATTTAACACTTTCACAATAGACTAGTCCCATTGAGAATTAGTGTAATATTCGAACTTGAAAGTAACCTGAGGAGAAGCATGATATTTTGTTGAAAAGCCTCATTAAAATAGCCATAATTTAATAAGAAAAGAAGGATTCATCGTCATTAATCTTGTAAACATTCTGTAGTCAAAATAGGATCTATCTAATGAGATAATATTCATTCGAACAGAATTATATATCATTTTGTGAGATTCTTTCATTCGAGTATTGGTGAATTATGATTCAGATTAGTAGAGTTTTTCAATTCAATATATTTTAAAAGATTCATAAACTCGTATATATTTGATTGAATACTGTATATGACATCTATGATTCCATTCGTTAATATCAAAATGTCTCAGTTCTAAACAATAGTTTGTCTCATCTATTTTTAGTCAAGTTTAGGTTCTCAAAATAACTATTCATTTTATACAGACAGGCTTAGTGAAACAAAACCATGTTAGTTCCCTTCTTTTTAACCATCAATCAAAAACTATAGCATTCTGTTGAAGAAAAAAAAAGGCGTACGAATATACACTTTAAAATAAATTGATATTACTTGATGGTAATATTGTTCGACAAGTACCATAGAAGTATTGTCTTCAAATCTGAAACATGCATCTAAAACAATATAATAAATTTTAGAATTTCTAAGAAGTATGAAGAGATTCATATTAATTTTCTGATTAGAACTATAGATAAGAAAATAAATGATAAGATGAAACATTCTATTTAATTTACACGATACATTCTAAGAAAAGAATTAATCATTTTGAAAATTCAAAAAAAAAATAATAAAACATTGACATTTTATTCTAGTGCATAGTCATTCATTATCATCATCAGACGATGCTTCAGTAGCAATACTTCCAATATCTGAATGTCAAGTATGTCTTGAAGAATCATCAATTCGTCCATTAGAATGTTGTTCATCAACTGTTTGTTCAACATGTATTTATTCTCATTTATCTTCACATATAACTGAAGCTAAAATTCGTATATCATGTCCATCATGTATACATATATTTACTCGTGAAGAAATTTTATCATTATTATTAGAAAAAGATCATAATGGAAGTATGGCTGAGCGATATAAACGTTTTTATGCTGATATTAATCGTGAACGACATATAAAAACATGTCCACAATGTTGTGCGCTAAAAGAAATTGATAAAAATTTATTTCAAGGTGTTCGATGGAGAAAAAATATTCCACGACGTGTTACTTGTAATGAATGTCAATTTGAATGGTGTTTTTATTGCCATGCACCATGGCATAATAAAATGACTTGTAAAGAATATCGTGAAGGAGAAAAACTTCTTCGAGAATGGGCATCACAAACGGATAATAATCAACACAATGCTCAACAATGTCCAAGATGCAAAGTGAGATAAAAATTTTTCTTTTTTTTTTTTGTGATTTAAATATAGAATAATAAAAAAAACAAAATTCATTTTAGGTATTTATATCAAGAAATGGTGGTTGTCCACATATGATTTGTTCCAAATGTCATTGTGATTTTTGTTATAATTGTGGAAAAAGAAGATTAGGAATGAAATTTTTAGGTTCACATGAAAGTCGATTTTCTCCGTTTGGTAAAAATTTTTATTTTTATTTTTTTGTTTTTTATTTGATTATTTGAATAATTATTTATTTTAGGATGTAAATATAACCTATATCCAGATAAACCAATTTTACGTTATACAGTTCGTGGATTAGTTGCTGGTGCTGCTACATTGGCTGCTCCTGTAGCAGCTGTTGGTGCTGTTGCATTATTAGCTGTAGGAACTACTATAGGAGCACCAACTTATGGAACATATCGTTTAGTTAAACATATCCGCAATAAAAAACGAGCTCGTCGTTTAAGAAGTCAATCAACACTATCAAGTGTGACTGAAGATAGTTCAAATGTCACTGAAGATGATGATTTTACTCGAGCAATCGAAGCAAGTTTAGAAACATATAAAGAAGAAATGGAAAAACGAGAAGAATTATTGAAAACTCAAATATTTGAAAGTGATGAAGAGTTTTGATAATTAATCAGCTCTCAATCAGTTGATTAAAGAAAAAAGAGAGAAATATTTGTGTGTATGTGTATGTGTGAATTTCACTAGTATGTTTAATCACAATTGTGTTAATGCGTTCTTTCCTTTTAGTTTCAATGTTTACTCTTCTATTTTTATATATAAAAAAATAAGATATTATTTATTAACAATATTGGATAAATTTCAGAATATATCTCGGATAAATAAATCAATGTCAACTAATTTAATAACGAAACAATATTGTTGATTCTCATATTGTGCTATTGAATTTAAAACCTTTATTTATTTTTAAAAACATTAAACACTATTTTCGATAGGATTTTATTTTTCTCAAATATTAAAAATTTTCAAATTGTATCGATTAACATTGAGCAAAAGAAAATGTGGCTTTGTATAGAACAATGTTAAGAAACCTTTAGCAAAAACCAAACCTTTTTCCCCCTGCAATTGCTATGTCTGATTTCTGAAAACAAAAATTTCTAGTTTGAGTTTTGAGGCGTAGCATATCTAGGTACTTTAATGATAGTGATGAGTTTTTCTCTCGCTGAAAATCGAATTTTGTATGTTTTTTATTTACTTATAACACTTTTTGCTCTCATTTGTCTCTCAAATTACGATCTGACATGGTGTTTTTTTTTTCAAATTTTTTATATGGATTTTGTAGAGCGCGAAATTCTCTACAAAATACACTATACTAGATTTTCCTATTCGACTTCGACATCCTTGAAAAATGGCTTGCGATGAAAAAATCTGCGTCCGAAAAAACTCGTTTTTTTCTCTATGAAGACCTCACTTTTTGGAAGTCTCGTAAGAGACTTTTTTGTTCAGTTTGATGAGCTCTTTCGAATGAAATGTTGCACAAAAAAAATCGGATGAAAAATGACGGAGTTATAAGCGAAATACTGGAATGTATCGAAAAACGTGTTTTTCGTTGCGATTTTTAGACCCTCTCTTGTTGTGAAGCCTATAACTCCATGAAAAAAGATCCTAAAAATCTAAAAAAAATCTTCACAACCTTACTTTTCTTCAATGAATCGAATGAAATAAAAAAAAAAAGTAAATTTTTTTTTAACCATTCTTCAATGATTCTCGATGGACTCGCGAAACCTCCCTTAAAAACAAAATTTGTCTAAATTTATTTTAACTTAAAACTCAATTTTACCTATGACATATACGCACACTAACGTATGGATTGCTGAAAGCTCACACATTCTAATAGAAGTATACTCATATAAATGTATATAGTTCCCAATAAATCTTTGGTTTACTGATTTATATTGTTTAATGTTGTATTTTTCAATGATGATGGTATTTCATTACGTTGTCACTAATGGAAATCAATTCTTTTCATCTGCAATACAATGTAGACGAGGTGATTCAATGGATCACATTTTAAAAATAACATTTGTTTGATCTTAGATATAATTATATGTAAAAATGAGAATTTATTAACAATCAATTATAGAAAAATTGATATGATCATTTATTTATGAAAAGTTGTAAGTAAAACTTCATGGATGCAGTCAGATAGCAAGATAATACAATTTCAATAAAATTTTCTTTTATCACTTAAAAAGGATATAAACATTTTTGAATTGATATTTTAGAGTTGAATTTATCAAAACTGAACTCATTTTCACATCATATAGATTTGGCGAAGTTCTTTTGTTTTTTTTTCAACAATATCTGATAGTTCATGCAAAACATCCATGTACTTCAAATACCAGTAAGACTTTAGGAGGACGACGATAAGAATTCAAAAACAATCGATTGAATTCAAATTATACTGTGATCAAAGAGAATCTGCGGCAAATATTTGTCAAATCTTTATTTCAAAATTAGTCAACAAATTCAACAATATCTCGCAAGAATATGTTTCATCACAGTAAATGAGAGTCAATAAATATAAGATATATAATACATATATGATTAGTATTCGAAATAGAAACAGAGAAGAAAAACAAGATTTTTTCCTATCGTTAAATCTTTCCTTATGTTTGATAAAGCTAGTGTTGGAAATTTGACTGTTAAATCAATCAGAAGGAGTATATCTTGTGTAAATAATTCTCAACAAATTTTAAATCAGGCGATTACTATTGTCAATAAAACAAATACACAATCAAATATGCAAATTACACAATTTATAAATTGCACAACATCATCATCAAGTAAAATTGACATATCCCTGCAAAAGAAATCGAGTGATAATGGATTTTTCGTTAGTTATACACTTGACTATTGAGAAGGGTGTGGGTTTGGATATCGATGTTTGGGGAAGTGGTGAATATGTCTGGTCGATGAAGATATGAGTATAGATGGGTGAAAAAAAAACTTACGCCATCACACCCACAATCTCAATCATTATTTCTCCATTTGGTTTTTTTGATGATTTTAAGGGAAAGATCTTTTTTTTTTATTGCGTGACGTTCTGAGTGATTCAGCGTCACTTCTCCTCAATATTGACTTTGTGATGATTATTTCTTGGCAGTTGAAACAATCCACTGCTGACAAGTCAACAAATAGTAGCGTCATTCTCCATTTTCCTATTGCGTTTGTTCTGCGTAAATCAAGGTAGTTATTTTCAATTATACCCAATGAAAAAACAGCGACTTTTCGTGACAAAGAAATAAAAGAAGGCATACACATCAATCACTTTTTTCCTGGTCTGTAGATGATTCATTTTCTGTAAGCAACAAACTACGTTGTTTTCAAAGCGTAAGAAGAGGACCGATTGGATTCCATTCGAGTTTTTCTAAATAGGTAAAATATTTAGAAAATAGAATGTGAGGGTGTGGGGTGGGTGTGGTGGGTGTGGGGTGTGGGTGGCGGGTGGGTGTGGGTATGGGTGTAAGCATGGATAAGTCCTTCACCCACACCCACACCTACACCCACCCACACCCACACCCAGCCACACCCACATCCACACCACACCCACACCCACCCCACACCCACACCCAACTAAAAATATTCTTTTTACGATCACTGAAAGAGAACTGATACTCAATTACAAGTCACACAGCGATGCCTTACTGACTATGGAGCGAGAATCTAATCATGATTAATTCATTATTCATGTCATCCGTTCTGTCGAAAGCACTCTCTTTCTCAGAAAAGAAAATAATTTTCAATCTTTCAATGCATTCGTGTTCGAATTTTTGCCGTTTAATTGAACAATCTAGGAAAAAGTGCATAATGAAGCGTTCGAAACAAACATGGTAGCTTCTTGAATGTTTTGCAAAAAAAACAGACAATTCGCTCTTAATGCAATCATTTGTTAGATAGCCCGAGTCTTGATTTGGTTAATTGAGTCGAATGAAAATTGTTTGGGTGCATCTACAATCAATACTATTCAGATTGTTCTTGGACAAGTGTCTGTCTCGAAACACTCACAAATTGTTCATAGCAAAGTGTTGGATAACTCGTTGTGGAAGTGCTCACAATCGTTTACTTGCGAATTTCAAATAATCAAACGGAAAACTATTTTCTCTTATATCCTTCTTGAATTTAGTCTGCTCCACAGACAACACGTAAATGATATCATTCATGTGCACTAATACTCAGTACCGTTGCTGTGACCAAACCGGTGATATTGTGTAATTTTTGTCACTTAAATCAAGGGAGTATTGTACTAAGTAAATTTTTTATTGTGGTTGAGTAAAAGATGCCAAAGTTATACGTAGATCTCTAGAGCGCACTTTGCTCTATCAGATCCACCAAAACAATATTTCGCACGATTCGTCTTCTTGTATTTATGTCGTGTTGCTTAGATATTAGTACCATTAGAAACTTTTCATCGAGAGAAATTGCAATATGATTACGAAAATCACTTTAGTTAGTACTTTCGAAAGATAAGTGTAGAAAAACGTGCGAACAAAAAAGTAAAGTTTTTGTGTTTTAGGTTTATTCGTATCTTAGTTCCAAGCGAAAAGCTTGTTCCCAAAGTATTTCAATCAATGGTAGAGAGTTTCACGAAAAGCAGCGACCACTCTTGTACAACATTACCTTGGAAACATCCACTAATTACTTTGCGAAATAATATCACACTTTCAAAAAAAAAACAAACGCTCGATTTCATCATTTCATATACTCCTGTTTTTTTAAATAAAATCATAACATCGTTGTCATAGAACATTACAAGATGCATTTTGTAGTAAAGAAAAAGTCATACTCAATCTATTGAATCCAAGTGAGATATGCACAATAGTTGTAAACTATTGGCGGTCGTTGCTTCAACCAAAATCAAGAATAAAATTGATTGAAGGAGAGTTGTTTATAGCAGAAACATTAATAAAAGTTGGCAAACACTTAATGAAGTGAATAACACACATATTGTTTTATTTTGCTTCACAGGGATGCATGAAAATCATCAGAATCGAACATGTTGTCTACTTCCTACATAAGTAATAAAACAACAGCATTCTCTTTAAGTCACATGTTGGAAAGAAAGCAACTGCTCGTTCCCACACCTCACGGTATTACAGAATTCTTTCTGTCGTCGGCGATAAACAACACTCCTTCTCACTCAAAAAGAAAAGAACGGAAGAAAAATAACAGTTTGCGAACAACATGGCACATTTTTAGAGGTCAACATACAGCGTCATGAGAGAACACTTTTTTTTTTATGAATGTCGATACTATTTCAGATATATTTTTACTTCGACTTTTTATTGTGTGTCTGTGTACGCCTTGCAATTATCACCAACCTCTGTGCTAGGTCAATTAATTTCCTACAAAAAAGACCATGGGAGCTGATGGATCAAGACTTTCATTTCAGCAAAAACAAGAACAAACGGAATCACTCATGCAACAGAATGTCGAAATAGCAGAACATTTGTCGAAACAACACGCTGCACATAAAAAGAAACCTGATACAGTGCTCAATGAGGTCGGCAAGAATATGTTTGCACATGTGAAATTAATAAATAATGGTGCAAATGCTCCAAATCAAATGGAAAAAATCGAAATCGAAGGTGTAACATATGAGATCT